GGTTGCTCAAAGCTCTGTCCAACTTGAGCTTGAAAGTGTCCAGGGATGGGGCATCCACCACCTCTCTGGGCAACCTGGTCCAAGAGGTGCGAGGGAAATCACACATGAAATCGTGCAAAGGGAGATCTGTGTAAGTGCAGGTGCAGATCCTTACAGCAGGTGCTTGGGAGGTGTGCGCTGGTGTGCAAGGGTGTCCCTGCACATGCAGGGGGTCCCCAGGGATGCAACTCAGCCCGGGGATTGGGGGGGTTCAGTGCTATGCTCAGCACTATGCTCAGCTGTGAGTCGGGAGCACACCCACTGCTGCTGTCCCTGGGGAAAGGGAGGGTAGCAGTGATGGATGGGTGCTGGGGACACCCCAGCTGCTCCTCGGGTCCCACTGGGCACCTCCGGCAGGCACCAGTGGCAGGGATGGGGTGTCCCAGCAAGGGAGGAGCTGTGCTCTGGTTCCCCACACCAGCCCCTGAGCTGCTCTCCCTCCCTGCAGGGCTCAGCTTGGACATACTGCGTTACCTTCAGCGTTGGCTGGGAGATGCTCGGCTCCAGCCAGGAGGGACCAAGCCCCATGGCTTTTGAGCCCGTGGCTCACTATGCATTCAGCATCCTCTGCAACTCCGCTCCCACCGCTACAATCCCAGCACCTTCCCAGAGTGACTCCCACAGGATTCGGGGTGCAGCAGCTCACCTCAGGTCCCTGCAGCAGCCTGCCCCAGGGCTCGGGGTGGCAGGGGGCCCTTGGGAGAGCTGAGCTGCTCACAGTCACTGCATGCCAGCCTCTCGCTCCGCAGCCCCAGCTATCGAGAACGAAGCTCCTGGAGCAAAGTGGGCGAGAAGAGACAAGCAAGTACTTTCTGCTCCCCTTTTGCCGAAGTCAGGTAGTTGGGATTGGTGCTGGCAAGCCCTTGCATTGCACATGCCCTGAAGGGACCTCGGGGTCCATCTGGACTTACGGAGGTGTTGCCAACCTGACAGCACCTGTTCACGGCAAAAAAATCATCGTCTCTTAATTAGTTTCCCGCTTCCTGCCATCCCTTCTGCGTGCGTACGTTTGGAGTTGCAAATGTGTGCCCAGGGTGCTGCTCACACCTTAGACCCTTGATGACCGCAAGGGAATGTAGGCTGCTATTTTGGCCAGAGAACTTTATTTAAAATTCGTGTTTTGTTCCTGAAGCCCTCCCAGCTGAGCATTGCTTGACCTGCCGCCGAAACGCAGGCTGTCCCAGGCAGAAATGTGGCAGCTACGGTGGCTGCAGCATGGGATGTGAATGCATTGTCCTTCTGCGGTGGGGAAAGGGGAGGACGAGAAGTAAGTCTGCGCACTTGGGGTTTGCCAGGAGAACAGCAGGAAATGCTCTCTTCTAGGATCAGTGATAGCCTGGCATGGCTGCAGCTCAAAAACCTGCATTTCTACCGCGGCAACCCACTTTACCAGCCTGGGGTGACACAGGCACCACAGAACTACCCTTTGGTAGGATAAGACCTTTTTTCTCCTTCAATTACAGAGCAGGTTTAGTGCTACTGAGCTTATGAGACCTAGTAAGATCATGGCTTGGTTATGCTGTGACCACAGAAAGAGGAAGGGAAATACTGAATTTCAAGCCCAGAAAGGCCAAGAGCAGGAAAGGAGAAAAAAAATGGGCTCCAACCTGGAAGGTTCCCCCAAGACTGCCCTGGCTGAGGCAGAAGAGTCAGAACCATCCCAGCAGGCTACAGCCCTGCTTGCTCATGGTTTTTAAGGTTTATGGAAAGGTGGTGCAGGAGATGCAGCAGCCCGAGGTGCAGGGAGTGCTGGGGCTGCTGCAGATGCAGAGAAAGGGCTGGGGTTCCAGCTGGAAGTGCAGAAATTGAGAAACATGGATACCAAACTGGTGTGGAGATGGTATAGGATCCATGGTGCCTGGCAGTCGCAGAGCAGTTCCCCCCCAGTCTGAGCAGGTCTTTCAGCTGATCCCGCAGGTAGCCGTGGGCACGGAGAAGCTGGGGAGGGCTGTGCAGGTGGTTTAGTGCTCCCTGCTCAAAGATGTCCTGCTACCACCACCAGAACTGTTTGATGAGCTGGGGGAGTTGGTGCTCAGCAGCCTCCCACCACACCGGACCATGCAGGAAAGCCTGGCTGCAGTGATCACCCGAGACCACCCACAGACCCCACGCAGGATGGCCACGTTGACACTCCCTGCTTCAGGGGCCCTATAACCCTTGCTGGCTGGCACACGTGCAGTGTGAGGCTGCGGTGGGCCTTTCCCATCACCCACCTTCCACCATCGCTTGGCCAAGCTGTAACAATTGTCATGTAACTAACACCTTTTGGTTCCCCAAATGGCCTAGAATTGGCTGCAGGGTCCTTAAGCCTTCGCCCAGTACTTCCGCTTGGGGAGCAGGGGGCTTCTTTCTCACTGTCGGGCTGGGTTTGACACCCTGAGAGCATGAAGCCACTTTTCCCATGGGACATGGGAGGGGAAGAACAGAGCTGGGGGGCCAAGCCGTCAGGCCTTTGCTGCTCACCCCCTGTGCAGTGCTGAAAGCCCAAGAGCTCCCGCAGCAGAGATGGATCTTCTTCCAATGGCCCCAAGAGCCACTGCTCCGGTTGCCTCTGCAGCAGCAGCCCTGGGGGAACGGTGGCAGGGGCTCAACTTCCCCATCAGTAAAGGCATTACCTTGAAGGGCAGCACACAGACCCCTGCTCCTTAAGGGGCTGGGCAAAAGTCTAGAAGGGGTCAGTGGGTTTTAAGCTACAAAATCAGGCCAAAGGGGGTTAAATTTGGAAGGCTGCTGCTGGCAAGCTCAGGCTCTGCTTTTGGAGCACAGTGCAGGAACAGCTCAACCCAGCGTTCCTCTCCTCCTCCTCACACCTACTCTCCAATACCAAAAGGAGACATCATCTCCTGTAGCAGCTGTTAATACAGTAATACTGCAAAAAAGCTTTCTGGAGTGCTTTTGTAAGACAGAGCACCCCTTCCCCTCCCTGCATCTGGTGCTGCTGTGGTCCAAGTGAGACCCAGGAGCCGCACAACACCAGGCACTAACATTGCTTTCAACTGATGGCACAAACCGTCCCTGGGGACTTCACACACCCTCTCCAGCACCCTACCAGCCTTGTCACAACGTCCCCAAAGGGCCAGGCTGGATGTTCCAGCTCTCTGCTGTGCCTAGGTTCTTTGCAGAGATGTTACGACCACCAGCAGCACCTCCACATCCAGAAATGGAGAGAAATTTGAGACAGCAGTGAGCTACTCTGCTACAGCTCACAGGAATGCAAGCAGGTTCTGGGGTGAGCAGCAATCTGCCCCTCCCCGGTAGGGTAATGAAAGAAAGGGGTCTGGGCACCCCTCTGACAGCTGCACTCCTGGCAGCAGGGGCAGATGCCCAGGGACCTTGGCTCACAGTCCCCTCTGCAACAAGCTCCACTGTAGGCTCCCTGGCTGGAAGTAGTAGCATTTACTGAATGACGGGCTGAAGGTCTCCACTCTTGCTGCAGTTGAAGCTGTCAGTGCTTTGGGGGAGCAGAGGAGGACAGTGGGGAACACCACCAGCCCTTAAAGGCTCTTCATTCCTTCTGCCTCTGAGTCCTCACATTTATATCTGGCACTTACCCAAGCGCAAAACCAGCTCCTGGCACTTTGCAAAGATGAGTAGGAGCTACATTAAGCCTTAGGGACCACATACGAGATTTTGTCTCTAGTACTGCCTCTAAGTCCACCTCCCATTTTCCCCCAGGTGAGTTGTTCACTGAAGAGAGCAGGGAGAGGAGGCTCTGCTCACAGCAGCTATTCACCCTCTCCTGCTCACGCAAACAGGTAAGAAAAGTGGTGAAAGCCTCACACGAGGAGACTGGGCCATTCCCCACTACATCCTCTTGAGCAATCCTTATCTACGTGACAGCCATTTCCTGCTCCCCATCCATCAGTGTCACTGTGCTTCCACCTCTCCTCCCCCTCTCCCCAAAAGCATGCAGCTACTGCCTCCTCCACCTTCCTCCACAGTGCCAGGCAACCCTACCTGCTGGTGAAATTCATCCCTGTCAGGCTGCTGTTGCTTCTCACAGGGTGAAACCTGCTTGCATCACTATCCTGATGCACCTTTGCCTCATCTACTACTTGTTATCTCCCTTTACTTAGGGCAATACCATATCTAAAGTAACGGTGCTTTGGCCAGCTCTAGACATTACTAACAATGAAGTCTGAAATATCTTTATCAGTTGAGTTTGCTGGGTCTGCTAGTGCTCGTGAAAACCGACTAATTTAGGAGAGAGACCTACTCACCTCAAGGCTAAGTGTCCTGCTGCAGGGAGTTCCACGCTGCAACAGAGCAACAGTTCCCTTTCACACAACTCACCAGATCCATAGTGGTTTTTAGGTAGGTGCTAGTAAGTAAGAGGCCAGAAGGCAGTGTGAGAAGGAAGGAGTTACAAGGCAGTGGCAGGAAGAAACAAGGCTAAGAACATCCATCCAAAGCAAAGAGGTGGAGGCTGGGATGATTTTGTTCCCTTCCTGCTTCACTACTGAGGACTGGCTTCAGCACTACCCATTGCAGGGTGGGACTTCTCATTTCTAAATTATAGTACCATTTTTAATCAGAGGGGCATCGCAAGTTCCGCAGTAGGACGGGCCTGTTTAGACAAGAGTGCATGCTGACTTGCAAGGCTGCAGGGACAGAACTGAGCAGAGAAAAAGGTGCAGCTAACAAGGAACATCAGGGGATCAGACACTCTCTACCCTTTAATGGCTTTAGGATAGCACTGTGCCATCTCCCCATGGTCTCACGGAGCCTCTGTGCTGTTCTTGTGGCAAGAACTTCACTGTTCCTGGAGAAGCAGGATCTGCTGTTGCAACTAGTGCTGTCCGAGGCTCAGTCCCCATATGCTCATGCTGAGAAGAGGCAGCATCATTCTGTCACCGGGATCAGGAGTGGGGTCTCTGCCGATCCTGGACGGTCAGAAGCCAAGTGCTCCAATGCAGTGGTTGCAGCGATGTTTAGCATGGAAGTTGCTAAACCTTTCAGATCAGCAGAGTATGCGCTCTGCATCAAATGTCCACGTAGCTTGCAGCTGGGGTGCATTCAGCTGTCCAGTCATCAAAGCATCAGAGTTTACTCTGAGCAAACTCCAGTGCAGTAGTCAGGGCTCCCTGCATGCCCTTGGCATTTCCGCTGCCCTTAGCGACGATGGGAGAGCCTCCCGCCTTCCCTTCCATCTGCGTACAGACAGCCACAGCCCAATCAGCAGCGGAGAACATGGGGAGACAATTCTGAGTAAGAGACACAGAGCAAAGTCATCCGGACTGTGGAGCACTCTGCAGTCTGGATAAAGAAAGGTAACAACATCCTCTCCTCACCCAGCCTGGGCCCTCGCTAACCTGAGGCAGTCATGACCATGAGGACCACAAAGGCTGAGCTTACATGTTAATGCTGTGTCTTGCCCCTGGGAAAACATGGCCTGGAGGATCCAGGGATATCTGTGCCCACAGCAGAGACTGAAAGCACTATCTGGTCCCAGTATGGTCATCTCAGGTCCTACCCCATGTGATTAACCACCAACACTAGGCAGAATCCCTGGAAAAGCCTCAAGTGGGACCTGTTGAGCGGTGGGTCCAGTCCTCCTTTGCAGACAGGTTCCCCATGTCTCTACCAGGGTTCTGCTTACCTTGGACACCTGACAGGCACAGAGCACCTCACCAGAAGCCTGAGGGCTGAGCAGCAGGACTGATGTGCCAGGAGACTTGTCACACAGCTGGTTCACTACCTTCATTAGGATCTAGGAGAGGCAGGGAGAAGAGAGGTCAGGCTACAGCAAAGGAGACCGGCATGCAGCAGAAAATGAGCTCAGCAGCCCCCTCTTAGAGTGCGCGGCAGGATTACTCACAGAGAGGGAATCGGCTGGGACAGTATCAATGATAACAGGTCGGTTGCAATGTTTTGCTAGCAGGCTTTGTGCTTTCTCTTCAGCCTGGAGGAGCAAACACAGAGCACTTGAGGGGCTACAGATGGCACAGGGTGGGCTGGATGGGGATATATGCATGGAACATATATACATAGGGAATGGAAGCGCTGCTCTGTGGGATAGAGGGGAGACGTATGTTAGTAGAAGTCAAAAATGGGCACAATGCAATCTCCACATGGAGACCTGTACAACTGTCCTTTCTCAAAAGCAAGAAGAGATGAACCCATGTCAAAAGTGGAACAGTGACCTGTTTGGTCCCCAGCCTCTCTCCTGGACCTACACATCGCCACAGGTCTCAGGAAGGCTTCTGTGGCAAGAATCTCCTACTTTAAGAAAAGGATAGGTCATGTTGAGAACACTAAGTCACCAACAGGCATTTGCAAAGGGCTTTTAATGTAAATTGGCAGAATGCAAACACAGTGGGAAGCCACAGCAACATCCATATGACTGGGAGAAAGGCTCTGTCCTGCTGCAGTCTTACAGTATAACCTTGTAAAGCCCACTGTCAGAGCCATCTCATCTTCTCCATGTATAAACAAGGAGGTGATGCTTATCTACCTGTTGGTGTTTGCAAGAAGTGCTCTCCATCCTCACAGGCAGAGACTGGGATTCTGCAGGTGCCAAAATCCCAGTCAGTCACTCACTGCATTTTAAATGATGGCCCTGGTTAATGCCAGTGAAATTAACCCAACACAGGGTTTGTGTTGCACCGTGTGTGATTGTACCTGCTTTCTAATGGCACCCTAGTGATCGAGTGGCTGTGAAGTGTGACAGAGACACCAGGTCCACTGGTGTATGCCACACAGTGCTATTTGCAGGCTGCAAGTTAGGGTGCTGCTGCCACAGTACCTGCTGAATCTCCAGTTTCCTGATGGCTGTGTTGGCTGTTCGCTGTAGTGCTTTGAGGATGGTCTGTAGTTCTTTTCTTTGCCACTGGGGCATTGCAGTGCTAGCCACCACCTGCAAGACAATTTGCTGTGTAAGGACACTAAACTACCTAGACATAAACTGCTAGTTCTCCGGGAGGTCAGGCTGGAGCCTGACCTCTTCCCAGACCCTCCTATATCCCTATGTGATCAGCCAAGCCAGTCACTGTGGTGTGTAGCTCTCTCTTAGCTAGGCATCTTAACAGTCTCAAGTTGCACCAGGGGAGGTTCAGGCTTGACATTAGAAAGAACTTCTTCACTGTTAGAGTTGTTAGGCATTGGAACGGGCTCCCCAGGGAGGTGGTGGAGTCATCGTCCCTGGAGGTGTTCAAAAAACGTTTAGATGTAGTACTTCCATACATGGTTTAGGAGACATGGTGGCATCAGGTATATGGTTGGACTTGATGATCTCTGAGGTCTCTTCCAAACATAATGATTCTACGATTCTATGATCTAAAGCCTGGGAACCCTTTTTCACTGCTTTACCCTCCCCACCACTGCCTTCTCTCATGTCCCCTCTGGCAGCAGGTCATCTGCAACAGAGACACCTAGACACTGGTAGAAATCTTTGTGATCAAAGAGGCAACAGCAGGTAGCAACCTGCCCTTGCTATTGACCATGGTAAGATGTGAACCTGGCAGGGAAGAAGTCACATGCCTCAAGTGTATACAGCCCGTGCTGGGATCTTTCTGTACAGGAGTGTAACCCTTACTTTGGTCAACTGGCCCACTTCTTTGGAGAGGTTCTGCATTTCAGGAATAGAGGTGCTCCTCTGCTTCATTCGTAGGGAGACAGAGTCCACTTCCATAGCTAAGCACTGGCCTACTTCCCGGGCCTGGAGAGATGGAAAGAAAGAATGCTTCAAATGCAGCAACAGAAAGAATGAGCAGGGATGGAGAAAGTGAGGAGGCAGCAGGGTCACGAATACTGAAGTGCTGCTCAGGATCCAGTGGAAAAACACCTACAGAAGCTTTAAAGAACAACTGTCCTCAAGAGACTCTGAAATAGAACATTCCTCTCTAGATTTGCCACCAACGTTAGATGGTCACATCCAGGGGACCAAGCTGCTGTGCATTTATGTTTCCTCAGTATCTCGCACCAAATCAGGATTTCAATGAGAAAAACTTAGGAGCCCTGTTTACTTCTTAGTACTTTTTTTTTCATTAGCAAATGCAATCTTGAAACTACTGACTGAAGAAACAAACAAAACACTAAAACTAAAAAAACCTCATCAGCTGGTCAAGTGTATTTCCTGAGTTCAGCTATCTTGGTGTATTTCTTACTGCTTTCCCCAACACCAATGCCACCATTAATATAAAAAAAGGAAATTAAGAAAAGTTGTGGACAGTGAGGACTGCCCTGCCTAGCTAGACTACACATCCCTTGTTTCAAGTCACTCCCTCATGCCTGCAGTCTCCCTTGTCTGATTTAACACATGCACACAGCTCCTTTTGGGGGCTCTCCCGGTCAGCACTTCCAGCAAAGCATGCAGACATGCCCTGCAGCTTTTCATTCCTCTGCATGAAGAAAAGTCTGGCTAGGGACACAGATGCACAGGGGACAGCCAGCCAGAAAGCAACAGATTTGCATGGGTGGGCTTTGCCTTTAGTCCTCTCGGTTCCACTGACAGCAAGTCACCCTCCTCTGACTGCAGCTTTAAAGCAAGCAGGCAAGCTTGCGGGTCCCCTGACACTTCCAGATACTCAAAGGACAGAGCAATCTCACAGACACAATAGTAGGTTGCTTACTTTTTATACAGACCCAGCCAGACCAGAACCACAGTTTAGCAGGAAAAAGACTACAGAAAAGAAGTAAAAGGGCTGTAGGAATGAGGCCAGAGCCCTGTAATCATGAAGTGCCAATCCAACTGTGACAGGCAGGAGGGGAGCAGGAGGTGAAACCAAAGCACAAAGGATACACCTTTAAATATCAACCTGGGGATTGAAATTTATAGTCCAGAAGCTTCCTGACATTTTGTGCCAAGTTCTTATCTTGGAAAAGTGGGTTCGAGGGAAGGAATGAAGGTCAAGGAGACTAGGACAGGGGGAGTGGAGGTGAATAGTGAGGTACAGCAGCAGAGTTGAGGGTAGGGGTGAAGGAGGAAGACAGATCAGGCACAGCAGGGAGCCTCCAGCCAAAGCAGAGGGAAACTAACTGCCTATGCAGGAACCTGCAAAGTTGGGTCCTTCTGGCATTGTCTTGACATGGCAGAAACCTCAGTTCCCCCTTTCTTACCTGTTTGGCTTGTCCCCCTGTCACTGCAATGACACGGCTAATCCCTTTAACAAGCTGATGCTCACTGATGATGGCCAGATCTTCCACAGCTCCTGTTTGTAGAAGGTGCCTGCAAAGTCAGCAGAGAATAGGAACAAGCTGCTCTCTGGGAACAGAAATCAGGAAGCCTACTTTCCTTTTAGAAAAGTCTCAAGTCCAGCAGCCTCTCCCCAGAGCCAATAGCATCAATCCCTTTCCATCCCTAAAATCCTGATGGCACGCCATCAGGCAAGAGACAGCAGAGCTGAGGCTACTATGGAGGAACCTCTGTGCTACCTGCCCAGCAGGCTGCTGTCAAATGGTGCATAACAGCCAAGTTCTGCCTTGCTTTCCTCTCCTCTCCTTCAGCAGTGAGATGAACTGGGATTTTTTTCTTTTCTACTCAGCTGCTACTGAATTAGAAAGTAATTTTTTCTTCCAACTCCACCACTCTCTTGCCAGGCCAGCTCACAGACTGGCCAGTAGACTCCAGTCACAGGGCACTGACAACCTCCCCTTTCCTTCTTGGTTATTCAACACTGGATATGGAAACAAGTACAGTGTCCCAGGTTCTGTTACCACAAGTAATCATTTCAGACAGCTTCACAAGAATCAATCATCTCCACTCCCATGCAGTTTCTTGTCCCACTACTCCCACAAGAGTGATCTCATGACTAGAAAATCATTCATTTTCAGCTGTATTTGCTCAAAGGCCAATTCATTCCTGGGTTTTTTTGTGTCAGCATTGTCCTAAGATTGATTAACTCTTCTTCTACCTCATTACTGCTGAAGGAAGAAGATGGCAAAGATAATTAATTAAAATAATCAGTGTCACAATTGTCTGTGTCTCCTGCTGGGTCCCCAGGCCTCCTGCAACCCCAAAGCCGAAGCACTGTAACTCTGTTGTGACAGGCCACACACCCCTTTCCCACTCTCTGCTGGTGCCCTGCGGCTTCCAGATCAGTTTCAGACTATGAAGCAAGGAAAAATGCTTTGCATTTCACTAAAGTTTTCTCACCCTGGGACTTCCAAAACTTTGTAACTAGCCCATCCTGTCCTCACAAGATTTTTCCTGTGAGTAAACTTAGTTACACAGGGACAGGGAGTGGAGCTTGCAAGAATATCTCTACCTCAGCCATCAGTGCCCACAACCACACCTTCTGACTGCAAGTAAAAGTCACTTACGTCCCACAGCAGAGCTCCACAGAGGTCTGCATTGCAGCCTCAGAGTCGCGGGTCAGCACACTCTCCACAGGGACCCCCAGGGACACTATCCTCACTGGATCTGGATACCCCTGACAGAGGAGACAGGGATCAGCAGCTAACAACACCGTCCTTCAGGGGCACTTACAGACTAACTGCATGGCTTCCATTGTCTGCCTCATTTTCCCCTATTCTAGAGCAGCTCCAGACTCAGGGGGAGCACTGCTTCTCCACCACAACCGGCCACCATGAGGAGACAGAAACAATTGGGTAACACTACAAGCTTTTGGTTCAAAGAAATGAGCAGAAAGCCTACGCATCACCAGCCTCCACGTTTTACAACACAGTGTCCTGAGATCTCATCTCTGTCTTATTTTTCTTCCTGAGTTTTGGGAGTCAGTTCCCTTGCAGAAACCTGTTGTGTCAACATCTCTTGAGACCCAGATGATTCCTGTTGAAGGAGAAGGTTCACGAAGATGTGCGCTGCCATCCTGTCATACCTCATCCACTGCACGGAGTCCCTGAACTCTTCTTGCCAGCGTGAGGGGGACCTCAGCCATATGCACAACTTCATTTCGTTTGATCACATCCTGGACCACCTGCTCTACTTGCTGCAGCTGCTCCACAGTCACAGGGCCCTGAGGAAGTAAATCAGCCACCCTCAGGAGAAGCCTCCTGAGAGGTACAGAACAAAGGAGGGAGAACTTGGGAGGGCCCCCAGGCAACTCAGCTTGGGCACACCACTCTCCCACTGCATCTCATGTCCCCTACTTGTAAAAGGGAACTGTGAGCACTGTGACTCTCCCACCCCCTCCTCCCACGAGCGATAAGGATTTTTGATCCAAGGGCATCAATCAAACTCTTCAAGAGAGATGCTGCAACGACTGACAAATTACCAGGGCCAGTGCTCAGCCTGACCCAACAGCTTTCAGTTCCCAACCACTCACACCTGGATGACCAGCACAGACAGCATCACCAAGCTGGTGAATCTCTCAAAGACCCCTTTACACCCCTCAGGTCAGTTCCATGACCACTGGCGTTTTTAAGTTCTTTCCCTTCTGACCTCCATTCATCCACTCAGCAAGCCCTGCTCAGAGTCAGGTCAATGCAAAGCAGAGCCAGTCACACCCAGAGAGCCAAGTTTCATTGCTCAGATAAAACATGACCTGTCTCTAAAGGTGTGACTATGGTGAGAGGAGAAAAATCCCTGGAGAGAAGGCCAGTACTGGGACACTGGTACTGCTGAGAACAAGCAAGCAGAAGCCGAGAGTCACCTTGGTATCAAAGTCGAAGCGCAGCCGCTCTGCTGTCACATGGGACCCTCGTTGCTGTGTGTTATCCCCCAGGACGTGGCGGTTTTTCGGTGTGGTTCGTCATGCAGGCCAGCCGCTGGGCCTGAAAGCACAGACAAGTTGGCAGGGAGTTCTGGTTCTCCACAGCTTGGCGGAGCAGGGGACAGCATGAAGAGATAAGGGAAAGGCTGCATGTGAGGGGATGGAACAAGATGGGGGGGAGAAACAATGAGTAGTACAGCTGTCAGATTAACTTATGTCACAGGGCAGATCTAACTTCGTTTCCCATGGGATCACCTCTGTAAAATAGGGAAGGGTAGGCTGGATACCTCTGGACAGATAAATGGCTCATAGAAGATTACAGTCACTTGTGAGGTGTCCCTCCCACTGCACATCATGATGAAGAGCAGTCTCAGGAATACAAGTGACAAGGCTCTGCTGTGCCCAGGTTACTCAGGACATCACAAGACTCTCAAAGCAAGGCTGGGAAAAGGTTAAGAGCAGAGAGTTATCACCTCATCCACAAAGAGCTGCACTTGGTCACCAGCACGCAGTGTTTCCACAGCAGTAACCTCATGGACCACGTAACCACCACAAAGATGAACGGACTCTACAGGGAAGAGTATGTCCTGCGCCAAGAGACAGAAAGATGAGTTAGGACACAAGGAAAATCCAGACACCTGTGCTACATGCCTGCTTGATCCAACTGGGAAACACAACCTTCGCTGATCCCTAAAAGACAGGGAAGGGGTGAGAAAAGCAGGGAGAAGCTTACTGTGAATGCAACCAGTGTCTCAGACCTTCTCTGCACCCAGCCACTTGCTGCACAACGTGCTGAGGCTGCAGTGGCAGTAACACCACCCATGCTGATGAATTTTCCTAACAAGGATGCTTGTCCATGAGAAAATGGACAGCAGCTGCTAAGACACCCATCTCAGGCATCCAAGGTGCCATTTCTGCCTCACTGGGCTGGCAACAGAAACTCGATCCCCACTTCAGCATGGGGAGAAATGCTGAGCAAGGGACCATCACATTCTGCAAGGCTAAAAAGGCAGCATCGACACCCAGGGGTGATTCTCAAGAGCTGGAATGAGGGAAGGAGAAAAAGCTGCACCCCATGTAACTTCCTAGGAGAGGGTCAAAGCTCTCCCTCTGGGAAGGTTAAAGGAACATGCTGCAGAAGTGGAGGTCCTCCCTGATACTTTTGGGAGGGACAAGAGTTTTTGCACTGGGTCTCAGGTTAGGCACTGCTTGCAGTCATCCAGGACTGGCCACAGACAAGTTACTCAGCTCACAGACTCTCTGATCACTGATTGCCTTCTCTCCGCATTGCAACTCCAGCTGGTGAGAGTGCAGCACAATGAAGAGACCCAAGAAGACTTTACAGTCTTCCCCAGCAAGACGAAATTGCAAAGGGCTGAGAGAGACAATCAGAGCAGCAAGTACACCTCTGTGAAGTCACTGCTGCTTCTCCTTCACCCCACCCACACTGATGCAAAGCCAAGAGAACTGTCAAAGAGTCAGCAGCTTGCACATTAACATAGTAAAACAGCCCACTACTTGGGGAATTCTGCCTGGCCTCAGTACCCATGGCAGCCTTGGGTTCAGGCAGCAAAGGGTCTTACCTGCTGTCCTAAACATATCATGTAGCCTTGGTCAGAGGCTTGCCCGCCCTGCTCTGCATAGAAGTTAGTCCTGTCCAAGATGACACCGCAGCGTTGCCCTGCCCCAATCTCCTTCTGGAGAGACTGATCTCTGTACAGCATCAGGACAGTGGCTTGGCACGGGCTGAACTCTGTCAGGGGGAAGAAGATGGCAGCAATTAGTGCAGATTGCAACAGGAAAGAAGGGGTCACTTCCCCATGCCAACTCTGCCAACACCCAGTCTATACTGAAAGCTGGCACTTCCCTTGGCCTTAGTAGGAGAGGAACAGCTATGAGCAGAAAGGACAAAGGATCTGTTATTTGGAGCTAAGTCACCCCTCACTTACCTAGTGGCAGACCTGCTGAGTAGCAGGTAAGCAGGCAGGGATGCCCAATCTGGCTCTGACACAGACAGCTAAAGAAAGAGCATTCTTTAAGATTGCTCAAACCCAACCAAGCAGTATTATTTGGGGTTGCTCAACAGTGAAGAAACATCCGTATCAATAGGAACATCTGCGTATACCTGATCACAAGTCATTTAACCATGCCAGCAGGATGTGAGCCAACCCTCGAGTCATGTTCTTAAGTGACTTATAACCATAAAAGGTTAAAATGAGAGAGGGACTATTCCCCAAACGACCAACAGAGAATCTCTGAAGACCATTCCCTGAATTGTATGCACATGCTTGGCTATAAAATGTACTGCTTTGCATACACTGAAGACCATTCCCCGAATTGTATGCACACGCTTGACTATAAAATGTACTGCTTTGCATACGTAAATGATTTCTGAATAGGGGAAGAAAATTCCTAGAATTAACATGAATATGTATGATTTGTATAGATAAATAATAGCTTTGATATTTGGCGTGTGTTAGGAGGAGTGATCCCCCACACACTCGGCGGCAAAATAAATGCTTTCTAATACTAAAATTACAGTGTTAGAGAGTTTTATTTTTCCCTGAAGTTTCGGTGACAGCTCTACGTGAGCCTGATAGAACAAGATGTGGCACAGACACATCTGCATCTCGCTACACTGCAAGCCTGGCAAACCTGCCTGCCTTCTATGAAGAGATGACAGACTTGGTGGACAAGGGACAACAGGGATGTCACCTTCCTTGATGCCGCAAGCTTCTAACATGCTCTCCTGGAGGCTCCTTGAAGCCAAATTCAGGCAACATGGACTGGACAGGTGGACCATAAGGTGGGTGTACAACTGGTTGGGCAGCTGGCCCTACAGGGAATTGCTCAATAGTTAATATTCAACTGATATTCAGTTACTAGTAGAGCTACTTGGTGACTGATATTAGGGTCAACACCATTTACCATCTTCATTAACGTCTATCCATGACAAGATGGGATGTACCCATGTCCTGCTTGTGTATGGCAACGAATTGGTGCAGACTGGTTGATGCACTGAAGAGCAGGGCTGCTTTTCAGAGGCATCTCAGCAGAATACAGAAATGGACTGAAAGAAACCTCAAGAGCAAGCTGAACACAAGTCAGCAGGGTGCCCTTGCAGCAAGGAAGACTGACAGCCCGCTGGGCTGTATGAACACAAACATAGCCAGCAGGTCAAAGAAAGTGGTTATTCACACCTATTTAGCATTTGTGAGACTACATCTAAAGTACAGGAAACTCTGGTTGTACGTAGAGAAAAAAAACTTTTCGCACTAAGAGTGATAAAGAACAGGGAACACAGAGGCTGTGGGATCTCTGTCCTTAAAGATAAATGGACAAGGCTCTGAGCAACCTGCTCTGACTGTGAAGCTGATGTTCCTTTGGTCAAGAGATTGGACATCCAGAGATCCCCTCTAACTTGAATTCCATGATTCAGAGACTGAGGAGGTGGGACAGTTCTAGCTTGCAGATTTCAGCCAACTTCACTGCTGGGCTTTTTTCCTCCATTGTGCTCTTGCTGTAGTGTATATATAGCTTGAATTGCCTCGCTTACTGCTTAGCGTGGGTTGCCACCAGCACACTGGATAAAAGGGAGCTGGCTGTACACAGCTATCTCTAATTGTTTGTGACAGCCACATCACCTCTTGCTCTCTGTGGTTTAGCTTTATGCTTCCCCTAGAGCATCAGCAACCTCAGTTATCCTAAGGGATAAAAAGCCTGCACTGGCATCTAGTGCTCTGCCAAAGAAATAGCAAGTGCAGAGCTTCAGACAACTACCTAAACCCTTTGCATAATTATTCTTCATTCTCACCAGCATTCACACCCAGAAGCCTAATTGTTGGGGACAGACTCATCTCTAGTAGAAATCAACAGTCCCCGCTTCACCACTGCACAGTAATACCAACCTAGAGCTCACAGCCTTGTCACCAGCCCAGAGCCTTTGCGGGGACACACCAACAGAAATAAGAAAAGCATCTACTTTGGGATGAGGTACAGCGGTAGAGAAAAGATGCAGCAGCAAGGTGGACAGGTCTGAACCACAAAATACATATTCTGCATGCATGAGGTTGCGCAGTAAAGGCGGTCTTGTGATGGATTCTAGTCCCTCCAGCAGACCTTGCCTTACAGACAGGACCTGGCCACTTACCGTACTGCCCGTGCTGCCCAAGTGTGTAGGCGTACTTTGGAGAGTCATCAGTAGCAGGCACATTGTTGCTCCGCAGCTGAGCCAGCGAGTGCACATCGAGACATGTGTTTGTGTCCAGCTGCCCTGCCTGTGGGCCACCAGCCTTCCGCTACAGCAGAGCAAAGGCACAGTTAGATGGGAGATACCTGGTGGTACTCAAACTGATAACTGGAGCTATAAGGCTAGGAACAACTTCTTCCACCTTCCTGGAAAAGGCTTGTTTAGATCCAGGCTGATGAAGGCTACTACTAAACCAAGCTCACTCCTTCAAACCTCACAAGCACTCAGTACCACCTTGAGGTAGGCCATAAGCAACAGCTAACACAACCCTCCGTGGCACAGCTTTCTGCGTAGCTGTAAAACTTCCAGGCCATTAAAGCTTAGGAGAGCAAGGCCTTGAACCAAATACTGCACAGGGGTAGGAGGGAGCAGTGCAAGTCTTCAGCACTAGAGAGACCAAGGAGATTTTGTAAACTCTTCATAAATCCCTTGCCGTTTGGGCTATTTAATCTGGCTCTGCTTTGCACGAGGAGTTGGACTGCATGACTGACCTATATAATTCTACGATAACCCTCACTCCAGCAACAGTCAGCATCATAAAACACGTCTACTGATCTGAAGAGAACTGCCAGCCAATACTTCTCAGTCCCACACCCACAAGCAAAGGCATTGTGACCCCACTGCCATTTCAGACTCGCTTCCCCTTCAGGGAAAAGGCACATGGCCCTGTGGTGCATGTGAAGAGCCTCAGCAGTGAAAAGAATTCTGCCTCCATGCTCACAGGAGATAGGGAAGGCTCTGAATTGTTCTGACAAGGTGAGTCTCCCTCTTACCTTTGCATCTTCCAGAGCAAGTGTGTTAAAACCAGCTGAATCCAAACTGATTCCCTTTTCTTCAAGCATCAAGTCAATCAGATCCAGAGGGAATCCCAAATTCCCATAGAGATACCAGGCTACTTCAGCTGTAGGACAAAAAGGAGGACATGAACTCTGTATGAACACAGAAAGCAAATACATCTCAAGATTTGCTTGGATGGGACCAATCTAGTGTGTGCCTTGGTAACTGGATTCACCTGTGTTGTGTGCAACTGCACTGGTAACGGGAAAGGGAAGAGAAGAGAAGCCATGCAGTTGTTCTTGTATGAGACTGAGTATTAATGATGCCCTACAGCCCCATCCCTGCAAAAATTCAGTGCAGCACATCTAGTCACGCAGCTGAGCTGGTTGGGTCCTGAGCTCCTTCTTTCAGCTGTGTCTTATAAGGACCTAGTTAATCAGTCAATAAAGCAGCAAAGGAATGTTTCTAACTTGCCTGGTGCCTAGTTTGTTGTGAGAACAAAGTACTAGAAAACAACTGCAATCTGGAGAAAGGAGCAACATCTGCTCCTCCACCTGGGGCTAGAAGGTCACTGCAAACGTGGAAGAGGCAGACATCCACCAGTTTTGACTGCAATGCTTGTGAGGACCTGGATCAAACCATCTTTAAGTGCAGCTTGTCAAAGGAGAGAGACTCACCTGGGAAATTTGTGGAGGGCTCCATCTGCTGTACTGTCCGCTCGATGATACGTCTCCCACGATCGAGGGAGGACAGAAAAGCAGCTTCATTCTCATTGATGATATCCATGATCTGCCCAAGGATCAGAAGAAGGGTTAGCCATAACACCTCAGGGAGTTCCCCAACTCAGCTCAGCCCTGCTACAGTCAGCTCAAAGCAAATCATGCAGGCATCTAACAGGAGTACTGCGTCTGCTTGAGCCAGCCTTTTTGTTCCGTAAGGATCCATCACAACATGACTCTGATGCACTACTCAACAGTGCCAAAGTCACTGTGCCTCCTACCACCATTTTTATCAAGGAAATATTGATCAGCTACCTGGGAAAGGCTTCAAGCTGACAAGTGCTCCCTGTCAGACATTCACATCTGTGACTCAATTAAAACTGCATGGCCAGAACAGCCAGAGAAATTGCTCGTCACAGTTGCTGTCTGCAGAAGCAAGCCAGTACTAGCCTTAAATCACCAATCCACTTTGGACCAAGAGTTCCCAGGCCAGGACAGGCTGTACTTCCACTCAACAAAAGAGCTACTCTAGATTTTTTTAGGGCAACATCTGCCTTGTACCAGGACAAGCAGTTCCTGGTAAGGATCTAGTAGAGCTCTCACAAGGAAATCTGCCACAGATACTTCTCATGCCAAGGATAAAAACATGTTCCCAGCACATCTCAGCCCACCCATGAGAACACGGTTATGGAGGAGGCTGTGCAAATTCCTCCAGCTAAGTCCCAAGGAAGGGTTGATTTCTGCCTCTGAGAGCAGTGCCTCACAAAGCTAAGGAGAGATGGTGCTTCTCTCCAGGGGATTCCACATTGCTTACCTGGTCTGCATTCTTTGTCAGCTCTGGATAGGCATCTCCCTGTGGAGTGAGCCTCAGTTAGTGATAACATAGAATCGTTATGGTTGGAAGAGACCTTAAAGATCATCAAGTCCAACTGTCTACCCAACGCCACCATGCCCACTAAATCATGTCTTGAAGCACCACATCTAAACGTTTTTTGAACACCTCCAGGGATGGTGAGTCCATCAGCTCCCTGGGAGCCTGTTCCAATGCTTAACCACTCTTACAGTGGAGAAATTCTTCCTAATATCCTCAGCATCTTTCTCAGACGATCTCACAGCATGCCACAAGCATTATAAAGGTTTCTGAGGCAGGTGAGTGTGAAAGGAGCCCCAGCGACAGCAACACAGGGGAAGATTCACACATGGACTTACAATGGCCATCTCCTGGCTATCTTCCTGTGACTCGCCTCTGCTAAGCCCATGCACAGCATCTCTTGGCAAACATATCCGTTCACAATAGGAAAAAAGCATTGTCTTTTAGGACGCTGTTAGTACTCACAGGGACCAATTTCAGATGGCTTTAACCAGATACGACAGCTTGGAAGCCACTGCCCTCGGGAAACAACGTGCACTTGCATACACTTACACACACACTTGTGCTGACTGTACCGCCAGTCACACTAGGCCCCCTCCCTCCCACCACAAATGATCTGGAGACAAGAGATTTTCACTGCTGTGATGCACAGCACCAGATACACCCTCCTGGAGCAGCTTCACATCCAAGATTGTCTCCTTACAGCATACAGGAAACGGATGTGGGGCTGAATAGGACATGTGTGATACTCTTTTTCCTCCCAAGGTAGCAGTTTTTACGCACCAGCACTTCCACTACAGTAGGTACCAGAGAGGCCAGGAGCCCAGGTGGAGCATGAAGGACTTCAGAGCAAAAGCGGACAGCCCTGCGCAGGATCCGACGCAGCACCAGTCTGAAACCAGGGCAGGATTCACCAGGCAGCCATGTGAGCATCCCTGCCCAGCTCCCATATCCACCACACACTCCCCAAGCTCCTCTGGCCTGATCTATTGACACAGGCCAGCTGCTCCCCACACTCTATACCCACCCACGGATCAGATTGCAGATCAGAACCTCTTCCAGGCTCTCACCCTCCTGCCTCCCCAAAGCTCATGCACTTCTTATCTTGGGCCCACACCAGAACCTCTCCCCTGGCTGTCCATATTCCTTTCTAGACCTAACTCTCTCCACCCCATGCCATTTCGTTATGTCCTTACTCTGCTCCAGAGAGGCCTGGGTAGATGCCATCAGTGATGCATACACACAAGGTGCGCACGTGATCTGCCACCACACGGTAGGCCATATTCACATGCCCAACATCAGCATCCCCCACCAGACCTTGGTATCCAGGCCCCCCGCAGCCCTAAAAGAGAAAGTAAGGAGGTAGATCAGCAGAAATTAATGGCTGCAGAAGAAAAAGTTTCAATGCAAAAGGTAGACAGCTACACTTGACATCATGCTTCTCAACCAACTCTGGACATTGTGCATCTAAGATGTACTCATGAAATCCTTCCAGAGCATTACAAAGACTTCTGTACCTAAGCCTGGTCAGCCAATGCCCTGGCACTGAGGAATTTAAAATACTTTGGAGGAAAACCAGATCAGCAGTGCTGATATCCCAGCAGATTTCCAACCCTGAATTTGCCCCAGTTTCCCTTCAATGCTGCTCTGGATCTGGCTGGACAAACCTCCTACCTCAAAATACCACACAGTAATGTGTAGAGAAAGCTGTACTGTGGTACCAGGCAAGCAGTCTGCATTCAAGGAGCTTTTACTTAGCTGTGACTTTAAGCAGAAGCACTGTCACCTTGTGAATGGCACCCAAGATGGGAGTGAAGAGATCTGTGTCATAGTTGGAGCGTTTGTTCTGCAGAACTGTCACCAGCCTTTCCAGGCCCATTCCTGTATCCACGTGGTGCTGCGGCAACGGAAGCAGATTCCCCTCCACCTCTCTGTCAGCCAGCCAGGAAAAGTAAAAGGCAAAAGAGAACCAAGGGTCAGTTCAGGGGCAAAGAAAAGGAGCAGGTGAGTCAAAGAGAACAGGAGAGCGACAGGGGATGGAAACAGCAGGTGACCCAACAAAAGGAAGCTCAGGGACACAAGACTAACAGCAGCCTGCCTTGGCACTGTCAGGCAGCCAGAATCTGACCATCAGATAGTCAGGGTAGACTAACGCAGGGAAATACGCCTTCCCTGAACAAGGGCCCAAGGCTGCCTCCTCCTTCTGCAGGTTTCTCTGGGCTGCTGCAGACCTCAAGAGACCTCTGGGATGCAGCAGTGAGGAAGAATAGGCAGCAGAGGTTGAACGAGGACAGGACAAATGAAACAAAAGGGACTAAGAGCCACACTGGACACATCTCCACAGGTTCCCTCTTGCTCCTGTACTGCCACCTCCTGGAAAGCAGTGAGAGGTCTGAGAATATACACGTACAACTCTGGAGTCAGACAAGGGGGAAAGGCTCTGGAGTTCAGATCAGATGCCTGGTACCTGCTGTACTGCATGAAGACCAGGTTCCAGATCTCCACTACATCGGGGCTGCCCTGGTTCACCAGTGCCGCAGCATTTCTGCCACAACCCACGTGATCATAGTGGATCTCTGAGCAGGGACCGCAGGGACCTGTGTCCCCCATCTCCCAGAAGTTGTCCTTCAATGGAAAAGGAAGCACGTGACTGGCAGGCACCCTGGAAAGGTAAACAACAGAGGTGACAGCGCTGGGGTGTGCACAGAAAGCACACAGTAGCCTAGATCACAGAGAAAGTTGGAAGGAAGGAATCCTTTCTGACTACTACAAACTCAGTAACCAAACACATTATGATGGCTTTGCTTCTGTTTACACAGAATTACTCTCTTTAGCAGGAACAAGCTGGACCAAACCAGAGAGGACCCTACTAACTGCCCAGAATGGCTGGCAAACAGAGTCTGGCTCCTGCTGACAGAACAGGCTCTCCACTGGGTCTGTGGAGCTGCCTTCCTCCTTGGAGGGAATTCCAGCAGAGATAAGACCTGACCACAATGGACAAGGCTGAACACCAGCAGTGGCACAGAGCTGGCTGCCTTGGGTTCAAAGCCTTCCCACAGCCTGGAACAAGCTCCCAAAGCACAGTGGTATTCTCTGCAATGGCTTCATCCTCACACTGAAGCAGCCATTGCTAGCTTTCAGCAGAGAATGTACTCTCCACAGCTCATGATAAGCGAGGAAGTAAAGGATCAGAGATCCTTCACACACTTCATCCAGGCCAGCCAGTCTTAGGTACGCAGCCCCCCAGACTAACATCATCTGAGAAACAGCTTAAAGGTCAAGTGCCCCAGAGCACTCGGAGTCCAGCTGACTTTCAACAGCCCAAACAAACCAGAAATGAAATGAGTTTGAAACACAACTTTTGGCCCCTACATCTGATTCTCATCAACTAAAGAGTAAATGGGAGACTATGAAGACTGAAATGTCAGCATCTGTCAGAATCTCTTCTTTTCTCTAACAAACTTACCCCAGGCGGAGCCATATGTCCCTGCACTCTTCATCTGCGCTCAGCCCCAATGAGGAGTCTCCGCCAAAATAGGTGACGTAGAGCCGATCTCTGGGAATCTCATAGACCTCTGTCAAGAGCTCCCAGGCCATGCTACATGCTTCGTCCTGAGCAGGCAGGGAACATAAATGAAGCACAGTAATCCAGGATGCATAGTGATGCAGCAAGGCTCTTTAGAATGGGAATCAAACACCAAAGAAGTTAAATTCAGCTGTTCTCTCCCTTCCCAATTTTAAGGCACATAGCAAAGAGCAGGATAAGGGTCAGGTGAGCAAGACAGCTCACTGCTGCCTGTGGAAAACTGACATTCCTAAACTGTTGGGAGACCTTCAGGATCACAGTAGGGTCTACACCCACGTGCTCAGCAGCAGATTTGCATGGATTATTTTCTTTCCAAGGCTTCAGGATCACAGTAGGGTCTACACCCACATGCTCAGCAGCAGAGTTGCACGGATTATTTTCTTTCCAAGGAAAACACCAAAGAAGTTAAATTCAGCTGTTCTCTCCCTTCCCAATTTTAAGGCACATAGCAAAGAGCAGGATAAGGGTCAGGTGAGCAAGACAGCTCACTGCTGCCTGTGGAAAACTGACATTCCTAAACTGTTGGGAGACCTTCAGGATCACAGTAGGGTCTACACCCACGTGCTCAGCAGCAGATTTGCATGGATTATTTTCTTTCCAAGGAAAAAATGTATTCACTAGCATAAAAACTAGCATACTTTATCCTTCTTCCCTTTTCAAACTTTCTAGTAACAAGCATCAAATGAACTGATAACGTCTTTTCACCATATTAAATGGTCAACACTGGCATTCACACGGGGAACTTGGATTTGGAGGTGTTGTTCACAGCTTTGAAAGGCTGAGTACTCTGACAGCCTGCAGGGCACATTTAGTGAATCAGTACACCAGCTGACTACCTCTGCTCCAGGCCACAGAGCTCCCAAGAAATACTTTGGAGCTTACCAAAATGTCTTCTGCAGACAGTCCTCAGGCGCTACAGCACAGCTCTGAAAGAAAGGCTGCACTTCCCCCCCAGATAGGGTTCGCTCCTATCACCTCACCTTAAAGTAATCCCCAAAGGACCAGTTCCCCAGCATCTCAAAGAACGTGTGATGATAAGTATCTCGGCCCACATCCTCCAAATCGTTGTGCTTCCCTCCTGCACGCACACACTTCTGGCTGTCCCCCCCCCGCCGGTGCTGTGCCAGCTCGCTCCGGGGGTGCACCGTGCCCAGGAAAATGGGCTTGAACTAGAAATCAAAGCAGAGAGACATTCGCTATTGCTAGATACCATCGGATGCTGGGGACTGTGCCTGGGGCTCCTGAAACACAGACAGAGCGCTACGAGAAGCGAACGGGAGGGTAGCGGTGCGGTAAGCCCAGGCGGGAGCCCATCCCACCGCAAGAGACCTCCGTGAAAGGGGTCACCCGAGACGGGCCGC